GCGGGTGGCGCGATGACGAGGGGGAACGCGGCGGCTGCAGCGGGTACAGCGCGGTCGGCGAGGGGTTACGACGGCGGCGGCGGCGGACCGGGCCAGGTGTTCGGTTCGGTGTAACCGCCGAACCGGTGTGCTATAGTCGCTATACAGTCAGTATGTACGCGAAGTCGCCATGCCTCGGACGTGTGTGTTGTCGTCGCCGTGGTCGTGGTCGCGGTCGTTGTTGTTGTTGTTGTTATTGTCGTCGTGCGCCGGCTGCGCGCGTGCCGCCGTAGCCGCCGCGGCCACCGCAGCGTCGCCGCAGCCGTCGTTCCGGTCGGCCAACCTGACGGCGGCCGGTCTGCTGGCCGCCACCAAGTATGGCAAAACCGTGTTGGCCGGCGACGAGATTACCGTGGCCGCCCAGGAGTACGCCGACTGCTTGGTGTTCCGCGTGCAGGCCCGGACCCGCGGTTACGTGGCTCTGGGGTTCGTGGATCCGACCGCCCCGTCGGTGGACGTGCTGCTGGCGTGGGTCGACGACGACACCGGAACCGGACACGTAATGGTGAGTTTCGTCTGCGCAGGAAATAGGACGACGTGAACATCGCGTGACGTCACGTCAATAAAGGCACGCTGTAAGTCGTGCTTGCAGTGACGGACGAGTTGTAAGTCGTGGACTTGGGCCGCGGGATAGTCGGGGTAGACTGTACACGTGGTGATGACGTGCTCTGTTGCAGGGTATGAAGACCGTGCCATATATATATATCCCTGCACCTCCCTCCGGCTCGCTTATTTCCTGTCCGTCACGGGTCTCCCGTGATTTAGAATCGTCGTCAGAATAAAAATGCATGTTTTCGATCATTTTTTTTCTGTGTGATTTTTCATTTCTCATACAAATCAAGTTGATTGATGATAACGATAAGAGTTATGTTAAATCGATGAAACCGCGTCCGCTGCGCGTTGTGGGATGATTTGCGTCGAAACATTACTGTAATAAGTCGATAAATAACGTGGGTACGTAATATACAAATTTTTCTTACCCCGCACGGTCAACGATAAATTTATTTTAATCAACTATAAGCATCTGCGGTTAAGTACAAGAGCATATTTTTTTTGATTTTTTTTTTTTTTTTGATTATTAAGTGGTCTGAAAATAGAAAAAAATGCACATCTCCCCTTTCAATAAAGTTTAGCGCACCGCTGATTTATAGCTGTAGAGAGACAAAGGTTCGCGAGAATAGAATTTATCCCCTCTAGAGTCGAGTTCACGCCGGTGTAAATCCGTGTACTAGACATCTATATGAAATCATATCGCGAGGGTGCCATTTGAGAGGGGGAGAGGGTGGCAGAGTGTACTTTAGTACCCCTATTTTTGATATGGCTTATTCGTTTGTTATAAAATTTACAAACGCACTGTCGACCTGTGCATAAAAGATAAAATATATTTTAAAAATCATAATGCGTAAAACACAACATACATAGGAGGTTAAATTTATTTATTATTATTTATAAAAGTATAATATTATTAATATGCATGGCAAAAGCTAATTCCAAATTTAAACTTTCTAATTTTGTTAAAATATTAAATATAAAACCACGTGTGCCATACATATAAAAAACACGTGTGTACTATAATTTTGACACATTGCTATAAAAATTAAAATGATGCTACTGTTATACACATCGTAGGAATACATATAATAACATATTATTATTAATAATATAATTTCCATATTTAAAACTAAAATAAAATTTTCTAAACATTCGAAAAATTATCGATATGTCACTTTTGCAGCTTTTACTTCTCCGAAATTAAAATATTAAATTATTATCCTAATGGCTAATATTAACATATACCATTGTCAATCACCGTGTGATATTTTCGCTTTTTCACTATAATTTACCAACTGTCGTCGGCTGGATAAACGATCGCAACACGTAACATTCTCATTTCATTTATAAGTTATAACTTTTGATAACCGTCGTAATTAATCAGCCGTACTCGTGAGAAATAAGGTTTATAATGATTCTTTGACAATAATAACATATGCTAGGTGTCACATCAAAATTGTTGACAATAATAATGTTGAGGTAAAAAGTTTTCAGTGAAAACGTCGATGTCACTAATTCCCACGTATTTAATGTTGAGCACTATAACATGCATAGAGAAAGACCGTTATTTTGAGTCGATGCTTTGAACGTATTTGTACTGATAATATCCAACTAGTAAGTACAACTGCCACTTGGATATTTAAATCTTATAAATAATAAATAAATATTCGTACAGCCACGTGTATCCGAGTACACTATTTATAGTGCTATAATTATAATTGCAATTTCTAAGTTCCTAGGAGGATTATTTTTTAAGTTATTTCACTTTCAACCGCTACAGGTGCTAATGACGTGTGATTTTAGAAGGATGATACCGAATGCCAATCATTGTGTGGTATTTTGATCTGCTATAGGCGTCGAAACAACACCGGAAGTACTGATTCGCACACATCGTGTTAACGCAAACCTTTGTTATTAGGCTCGTTAATCCGATATTTAAAGCACCCGTATACTATTATATTTTATGAAACGTAATACTTTTATGATTTTGAATAACAGTAATGTCGTTATCAACGAGTACTTCTGTAGGGTATCGCTAAACTGTATATAAAAGCTACCTGTATAACATACACTCATGATACTCTCCATCCACAAACGAAGTATTGTTTCTAGTATATAGTGACAAAGAGTACTATGAAGTATAAAAATGTACAATTAAATTATGCGAATTTTGTCCGAGGTGTTATCGTGTTCTCGACGGTGTACCAATAAACGGTAAATATGTACACTTAAAGGTGTATTCGTGTATAATATTAATGTAATCGATTGAATGTTTGAGAAAATTCATATTATATACAATAGTATAATGTATAAAAAAAATATAATCAAATAATACAGTATAATATTATTGTATTATAATTGTATATTATATTTTATAAACGACAAAATAGCATGCTATGTAAATGTAATAGTCTATGTCAAAATCAATTGTCGTGAAAAAATAAATAATAAGGATATTATTTCATAATTATAATTTATAAGTAACACTGCCATTTATAAAATATAATATATAATTAATATGCACGAGCATATTATAATAATATTGTATTATATTTTATTATATTTTTTATTTTGTTTATAAAAAATAAATTAAAATATAATATATGTAATAATATGGTGTATGAAAAATACATAAAAATAAAACATAATATAATTTATTGATAAATAACAAAAATAATTATTTTATAATAATAATACAATGTAGGTATTATCCATTTTATGAAATGGATGTCCATATAGTGTATTTTCGTCAAAATTCACGATCTGAACGAATTTCACAATCTGGAAATCCATTTAATAAAATGAGCGGTTTCACTATGTGGATGCGACAATGCGACATATATAAATAATATTAGATTTGGATGTAAATGTTTTTTTTTTTTTTTTTTTTAAATAAAAAACTTTATTGACTAATTAGTTATGCCAGATTAAAAACGAAAATCAAAGACATTAATAATTTAGTATATTATATTTGCTAAGTACCTACTTAGCTACTTACATAATTACATATACGTACTATAAATTATACTAAATTTTAAATACATTAATTATAGATTACCTATACTATTTGAGGCTATTGAGAAATTTTAAGTTATAATATTTTTAGATAAATAGGTTATAGGTAATACAAATAAAAATTAAGTATTCATATTAAAATAAATAACGTTTTAAAAAATCTCAACAGTTTTGAACACTGAACAGTATAAACTAAAATGTACGTATTGCACTTATTTTTTAAACAAAATAACAAACAAAATTTAAAGTAGGTATAGTAAAACTACTAGATACTCTAGATAAATGTTTATATACGATGAATTTTAATGTTCTGTATATTCCCATAGAATTTTAAATCGCATTACATATATATCGTTATGGACCTGATGGAATGCACGGGAGTTCTTCGTATAATATAATACGTCTAAAACGTGCTTCTATTGGAACACGTTGTACACTCAAAAATTACACAATTTATTAAATGTGTCTTAAAGCAATAGTTATTGGCATGACAATCATTTTTATTAAGTAGGTATCTGTACTTTAAAAGTCGGTAGTTTTTTACAACTAGACCACGCTCGCTTGGAGCCGCATTATATATTTATATTTTATATGTATTTTTATATTGTTATTATTGCAGACCGTTAGAATACAAACCCCTTCTCCCTATTTAAAAAAACCTAATATTTCGGTTATAATGTCTTCTAAACATTAGAATATTCGAAGAAAAATAATTTTTTCCAACTTCTTTTTTCTTGGTATTTTTTTAGCTTGACTTTTGTTATGGAAAAAGAATAAACGTAATTCAATTACTACCCATTCCTATGCGCATATTACAAGATAAAAACTAGAAATTAACGATAATAGTATTAATTATCAATCTCACGTTGTATAAATGATTGGTAATTGGGTACCTATTTAAAGCAGTAACGTGAGAATTGACTATATAACTATATTTTTAATTTTCAATTCATCAAAAAAAAAAAAAAAAAACTAGTAATACTGCAGAATAATAATTTTTTTTTTTTATTTGAACTCCTTACAAGTGTCATTATTTAAATAAAAATAGATAGATTTAACATTATTATTAAATTTATATTATTTTTTTAATATTATGGTACCATTATATAAATAATTATAATATAAGTACATCATATTGTAATTATCATTATAAAATCCGGCAAAATATTACTCATAATTACTGTCATTACTAATATGAGTAATATGGCAATATATATTAATATATTGTAAGTATATTTGGCCATTGGGAATACAAAGGTTTAAAATTATTTTTAATATAAAATTATAATGTTTTTTTTTTTATAATATACAGTATACACTTGTAGCTTGTGCGCATATTATTGTGGTGAATTAAACTCGAGTTGCCAATATATTATAATAATATTATGACGCTCCCATGAACGTGCGCTGTTTAATAATGATAAACATGTTACAACGGATTTGAAGGCGTGCAAACGATATGGACGTCTTAAGACCTTAATTTTTTTTTTTTTTTTGAGAGAGAAAAATATTATATTCAAACTTTAAAAATATATTTTATAAAAACGAGAGGATAACACTAATATTTAGTTTATCCGAACGTATAATATAAATAGTATAATTTTATATACAAATCTAACAAGTTCTAATTGTATTTGAAAAAGGATACACACAGTATTAGCCATAGCTAAGGATTACAAGTTATAACGTTTAAATATTATTACGTAAGTCCTATACTTTGACAGTTGGTTTAATTTTTTATAAAATACTATAAAAAAATGTATTTTTCAATTATAAAAACAATTATTTTCACTATAATTTATCAATTGCTTAATTAAACGAAATTTGTGTGTTTTTTTCATTTTAGAACAGCATAATCATAAAACATCTATATATTTTCTGCTATAATATTAATTTGTATAAAGCTAGGTAACCTATTAAATATACAAAATATAATAATATACTTCAATAATTCTCGAGTTCAACATTTTAATATTTCTAAACTGTATGTCATATATAAAATATTAATTTTAATCATTAATATGTTATACTATTTCAACAAAAAATTTAATTCATATAAAATACACACTATAACTTATAAGCTATGAAGGTTTCCAATGATATAATACTATGTTCAGTACAAAATACAAATAAATATATTCTTACAATCCTTTTATATATATAACAATTAATGTTAAGTAGATTTTAATCGATCATAACAATAATTTGGTACTTATTAGTTATTAAATTATCAACAATGAGAATTATATTATTTTAATTATTTAGTTATTTCTCTTGTCTATTATGCACGTAGGTTTTATTTTTAAGACACGTTAAGTATAGTATTAAAAACATATACAGCACAACACAACCTCCCAGCAGTTGCATGCGATATCATGGTTTTCCCGCATACCACGAGACATTCTTTCAAACAGCCCCCGCCCAACACTGTTCAGCACCTGCTCGATCATAAAACGTTTTCATCGTGAGACTCATTTAATTGTCCTAGCGTCACCGACTCGCCTTCAGATAACAACGAGGAGTTCGCACGATATAATAATATATACTGTAGGAAAACATGATAATAATATCATAATATTACAGGAAAAAATAATAATAATAATCTGCTTTGAACTTTCAAAATACCTACTCTGTATAATATGTAATATATTATTTAGATACTAGGCGTGTAATTAAAACGATTCTGGGATTCCAAATTATTAAAAACACATATTATTGTATATTTAAACATTAAACTCTAAATCGCTATAGAGTGAACGTGCATCTTGTTGTTTTCCAAAATAATATAATATCATATTAAAATTATAAGTACACTATTGATTATTTCGATAACCCATCCACAACTACTTTATGATATTGCTCGGTAAAAAAAATATTGCAAAATAAAAAAAAATAAAAAAAAAATAAAAAAATATTGTAAAATATTGCTGTTTGACGAATAAAACGACAATATTTTAATTTAAACGTAATCACGTGCATTAGACGATGTCACTTTCCACGGCTATTGTTAATAAATAATACTATTTTAGTTGTAGGTGCTTATACAATTGTTGTGCATCCGGACATGAACGTGATATCTACAGCCCAACCTACTTACCTTACGCTGTAGAGGTATTACGTATATAGGGTGAATACGACTATATTATAAACACTGTCCATCATATAAAGTTTCCACTGGCTCGGAGGATATTAGATTTTATTGTTATTATTATTCCGATTGTTGTGAAAAAAATAACCACTTGTTCTTCGGTCATGGTGTATTAATGGCGGTTTTAAAAAGGGCACGCGCCAGTCTCGTGGAACATCACATCACCAATGCAGGTGCTAGGAGTAATCACGTCCGGTAATTTTTCGAATATATTTTTTTTTCTGTCAAAACCCATTTTCTTGAAACGTGTTATTAGCTTCGTTAATTTTCGATGTTTCTCTGATATTACTGTATAGTAAAGTATATAAAATACAATCAAAGAATTTACGCAAAGACTATATTATTATTATAAGAATTTCAAATACTAACATGTTTCACTAAATTTGTTCAATATGTTAAGAAACCTATTTACTATAACTAAATGTTAATATATTATAAATGTGAATTAAAAAAATAATAATATGTAACACATAAAAAACTATTTACAATTCTTTGAACTCTAGAAACTTAAAAAAATAAAAATATTTTTATGGAGTTAAAATAAATTTGTTAATCTTGTCGTTTTTATGATAATGTTAACTTGAACTTTATCTGATTAAAAAGTATATCTATACACGAGAATTCTCTCAATACCATCGCTGTAACGCATGACAATGTACCTAAACATTCATTGATCCCTTTCAATGTAACTGGTTTTCGTATATCCCAAACCCAACAGTTCCCACGAGATTTGTTGACCGCGTTACAATACCTGGGGTCTTTTTCTCGTGAGAAAAATTTTATAATTTTATTATTGTTTTGAATGAATTCGGTGTTGTTGTTTTTTTATTATTATTATTACTATTACTTAACATTAGGTAGGTATATAACATAATTTGTATATTAATGGTTGGCCGAGCTTAGCTATTCAGCTTTGTTAATTATTCTTGATAATAATACTTATCTTTTAATTTTAAAACAGAAATCTTTCAAGATTACTTTACAAATAGTTAAATACTACATAAATTTTATAGTGAAAAAACTATATATTCTAATATATAGTTAATAATTTAAAATTTATTGAATAAGTCAAATATACAATTTTTATTTATATCTGTATTTATAAATTGGTAAATGAATTATTCATGTAAATGATTGTATTAAATGAAAACACTATGTATCATATACCTAAATATTTTGTTGAAAAAAATCGACAAGGATCTTTATAACCATAACACATACGACAATAATAAATCACTTTTACTATATACTAAAATGTTGAAAAATGTAACATAATCTGTAAATTTATATAAACTATAATATTCAAAAATAAAATCTAACTATAAGTTAAATACATTGACATATTTACTAAAAATGAAGATTGAATAAAAACTAATAATAAGTAATCAATTACCTATATACATATATATAAAAAAAAAAAAAACATTAAATTACTAAACTCAATGTTTGTTAATTATTGTAATTTATAAATTATAATAAATAAAGTTAACTATAGTAAAGTAATGCATTTATATACCACTTTACTATATAAAACGATAGTTTTCATTTTTCGTTAAGAAAACAGACAAACGTCAAGTAAATACACTTATGTTTATTGTTATCCATATGTTTTTTTAGATTTAAGCTATAAAAATAGCAAAATATTTAAATTCCGGTTTTGTTCTAATTATATTGCTTGTCTTGTGGTGTATCATCCTATATCATTAAGTATAATAATGAACATTAAATAGCATATGTTTGCCATACATAAATTATAAACACTTGTTCATAGTTACTATCTTGAAATCGTCCTTATACTAAGGTATAATTATAAATTATATAATAATATATATTTAATTTGGTATCAAATAAATAATAATACCGTATCGTTCAGTAGCTTGCGTGGGATATAAGATTCTCCAATTTTATGTTTTCAAGTTAAAGCATGCATTACAATGTAAGTTATATTTTATACTATTGACAAAAGAATGTAGGTATATTTATAGATATTTTTTCAGATAGCTATGTAATAATATTAATACTGCATCATATTAGTAAAAACATTTTTGAAATAAACTTGATGTAGGTAATTTTTTGTTTTCGTGCATCTTAGATTATCTTAAGCTACGTATCTACTTATATTTAATAGTTCGACTCACAAACGTAATTTATAAGCAAGTAATTGTTATTGTTACTTAAAAATAAAAAAATAAATGTTGTAAATAATAACGCATTTTGTATAACCATAATGAATTGTTTAAAAATAAAAGTATTCATTTCATCATAGTTAATATTACACTAAAAAGAAAATGTAATACATATAACTCTTTTTAAATGCGTCACGCAATATAAATGAAACCGTGTGTTATTATTTTATTTTATTTTTTGTTACACAGGATATGCATGGCAAAACTGAAACAGGTCTAACACCGGAAAAGGATGTCAGCCAGGACTACGAACTACTGGCTTCCTTCCAAAATGGCTCTCATATATCCGTCGTCTTCCGAAGGGCTTGGGACACCTGTGACGCACACGACGATGTGGTGTTTGGGGTATGTATCCGTAAACCTGTATTTTCTAAGATATCATTCAAATCAAACAATAATTTATGTCCGTTGAGGGTGTATAAGACTATAAAAACCGGTTGTATTATGTAAAAATAACTTTGAATAACAGTAATAAAAAGACAAATTACTTAATAATGAGACAAATAATAAAAATTTGTCGAGATAGGCTTGTATCTTGTTATTTGTTAAATAGTTTTATTGAATAAAATCAGCGATTTCCCGTAATAATATATTTTTTAATAAAAATACATTTAAAAGAATTGTATAGTATTAATATATTATATTTCTTAAGCTTTACGAATGGAATATCAACGGATCCGAATTTTTCTTCCCAGATAAACGATGGGAATTTCGGGTTTTAGTACATCGTTATCGGTGATCTTCAAAAAATGTCGACGGTTAAGAAAAGCGTAGTAAATCCGAGCACCGAAAACGACAAAATACATCGCAAATATATAGTACAAATAGTATAAGTGTCGGGCGTAGGCTTTTGACGAGAGCAACGATGACTTGCGGACGGCTAACAGCACTTCTTGCGTTCGATTACCGTCTATAAAACATGTGTAATTACCAGAGTCGTCACTTGTGAGTCTGACCAAATATAACGTCCCGAACGTGTCCAGCAACGCCCCAGACGTATCATCGGCAGTAGACTCGGTTTCAGTCAATAGAAGTCCATCTTTCCTCCATGTCACCTGACCCATAGAGAGATGTGTGTTAAAATAACTAATTAATTAGGGGAAAAAAATGATCAAAATTAAAGAATTAGTGGACAATGATGTAATACAGCAATTGCAATATGTTAAATGAACGGCCGATGCTACTCGTAAATCTATTTTGGAATTTATTTTGCAGGAAATTCAAAACTTAAATCTCACCAAAATCAAAAAGTTTTTCTTTAAATATAATCCGTTGAAGTCACAGTCACGTGGTATCGAGCTATTCCGATGTTATACAAAATTGTGTGATTTTTAATGATTTTAAAAACACGAATTTTACAATTTATATGCTATAAATGTAATACGAGTATCCTCATATCGTAATGTCTAACACATAAGAAATAATTACGATTGAGGTGTTATTTAATACGTTTATCGTGGTTTTTCATACACGCTTTAAAAGTTGTGCTTGTATAAACTTCTTGTTAATGATAAATATAACGCCCTAAAAAATAATTTCGATAACCAACAATTGAAAAACATGGCTTCGGAAATGTCATTACTCATTATTAACGGTATGAAACAATTATTGAAATAAAGGATGACATAATATAACGTATTAGACAAAACAAATAATACTATTTTTTGAATTAGGTAAAATACTTTTTAAGATCTATTTCCATGATTAATGCGTAAAAAAAAATTCGAAGTTGGACTGTCACGCGAAAAAAAGAAGAAAAAATTATTAATCAAATTAAAATAAATATTGAAGATTGTGATATAAATGTAGTAATAATAATTAATAACAAAATTATACATTAACTTTAAGTATCGTTAATTACAATACCACATTTGCACATGGTGATTGTATGATACTCGTTCACGAGTTGGACTGTTCAGTATATATGTAGTCTTGCCTACATTTCCGCATAAAATATAACATATTACGATAATTTCGAATTTCCATTTTTCAGTTCGCAATACTATGGTGTTTATTTATCAGTATCAAATGAAATAATAATTACGCATCAAAAGATCAGATAATTCAGGGAAATCGTTGTCCCAATATAATTATTATGGTTAAATGTTTTATTTCGTATCATTAGACTTTTGTGATTTAACGACAAACGAAATGTGTACAATAATGGCTTCGACAAATATCTCAAATACCTATAAAAAAAAAAAATATGATAATAATAATAATAATGCGAAGAATGCACGCGCTCTTCGAGCGATTTTCCGCGGTATTCGTTATACTGGAATGTGGCTAAATGAATTTTGATTAGCACTATAACACACTCGACGTGGCGGTTATTGTTTAATATTATACAGTTTGGCTGTGGTTGAATTTACAGTGCATCTGCCGTTTGACTGAATAACAAGTATTTTTTTTTTATATGATTCTTTAATTTCGCAAGACTTCAATGTTACATCTTAAACGTGTATATATATAATATATATATATATATAAATGTGTCAGTATTCACTGACAGCGCGTACTGATTAAAATAATATTTTATTATGGTGTAGGATAAAAATAATTGGGTATATTATTATCTTTAAAGACTCGCTGATCGCATAGTTTAGCGAATTCAGTAAATTCATCGGTATAAAATCTATACAAGACCGTAACTCTGTACGATAATGATTTGCTGAAAACGCCGCCAGCCCTACCGCTATATACAACACCACCTTACACACTATATCACATCAACCCGACTATAATATTTATGGTTTGTCATCAGCTCTCGAAATCGAAAGAATATACACTTACCTTTTTATCGGCAGTCGCTTCGGCGCACACTAATGTCAAACTAGACCCTTCCTCCAGTACAAACGTGTTCCTGTACTTGGGAAGTCGGCGCTTGTTCAAAAGCTGACAGTAGGAGTAACATGTCTCGGACAGCAAAAAGTCGGGCAACGTGGATAGTCTGGCTGCTAGACCAGGCGAAACCGCCATCACCGCAGCGGGTAGTCCGATCGACCTAAAAGCTCCAAACCGGTTCGATATAATAACAATGGTAAACAGAAACATTATAATATGATCTATTATTGTTTGATTTGCGTTCAACCTGAACACAAAAAGTCATTATTATTATTTATTATAATGTAATGAATACGTCTATAGTCCATAATATACGAGCTTTTCACCGGCTGTATATAATATTACAGGGTCTTTCGAAACATTTTATTTTTGTGAATTTTTTTTTTCAAACATAATAATTATTTATATATTTTTTTTTATTTAGATAGGAGTATATTTTTATTATTTTGAAGATATTTTATTTTAAATAGACTCTGATTTTTTTAAATCCATTTTGTATAGATTAAATTTTTTATTTTATGTCTGCTGCAATTGTTCGAATATACAGTGTTAATACGAGATGATACAGACGATCGATTAACATTTTTTGAGCCCGTGATAACATCTTATACTTCTAACATACATATAATATTACCTACAAGCCATGCGAATACCATTGTCAAAATAGACCCGACAAGCAGCCCTTCGGTACCGCTTGCCCGCACATCCGTCACACGGTCCCCACGCATCCCAGTCCACACCCATTTTCCAAACCCGCGGAAAAGCCTTTGCGACAGGCGCCAAGTACCGCGACTCGTACTGCGTCCATTCTGCCATCGAATTGGCTGTTACCGCTTTGACGTCGACACCGAGCCGTCCCTCTGTGTTCGCCGGTAGTAGATCGAGAGCAAACTCGACGCGTTCGTCAGCTCCGAGACCCGAACACGAGTACCGACCGGTATCGGATGAGGTCAAGTTCCGGATTACCAGACGATGATCGAGCATCATGTACACTCGATTTGACTCGATCGGATCCGACATACCTAGCACCACTTCCTTACGACCGGCTGCTGTGCCGTTTGAATTCAACATTCTATTACCGCAGTTTTAGAGGCCGTAGACGAAAACAACCACCATCAAAACAATTATACAACTATTATATAGTTTACAATTACTTGAGATGAATAGATGTTTTCTAGATATTTTATTATTATAATTGATATATCCAAAAGGTAATTTAGTAAAAAATGTAAACATTATCATATACAATACAAGAAACTATTAAAATCGAAGAGTTCTTTTAGATTTATAACCGAGGAGAGGGGTTCAAAAACGCAATGACAATTGATAACATATGTTAACTGCTCTCTCAAAATATAATATACATTCTTACTCAAAATATATTTCTGCTATAAATTTATTTATGGCTCTCGATTATGTTTCCGAATATTATAGCTTACATTGGAATAAGTATTATATGACCAATTCTTATAGTTAATAAATAATCCATTTTAATTATATTCTTAAACAAATTTTTTTTTTTTTTAATTCAACGATTTCTAGAAAATATTTTTCTCAAAAATAGTTATTGAGTCAAAACTTTCTTGATTTTTTATCTTTGAGCCTTTTTGTTGACGTGTTGTTTAGTAGACTCTGTAGACTTACACATACGCTCAGGCGACTACAACAAGGCCTCGTTATACATTTATTATGTATATATCTGAAGCTAAGCTATTGCACTTATTTCGCTATAATATTATAATATTAACCTGTGCGAAATATACCAAAACCGGGCCTGGCCTTTATCTCTTTCGCCGCAATAGCTACACAGGAATGCTATGTCTGAACCCAAAGGCGCGTCTACGATTCTCACTCGATCGTCGTTGCGTCCTCCCCGTAACTCGTCCCAAGGTCTGTCTACGCACATTTCTTGTCGATGACAATCACCAAAATTGCAATCCGGCTGAACAAACCCGATGATGACGGAGACGGTAGCGGAGAAGAAGAGTATCATTTCTTCGACCATGTTTACGGAGTACCTAGTGGTGAAGACGTTGAATGAAAAATGAAAATAACTTATATTTTATTCCCTTCTCCTAGTAATAAAACTATAAGTAATGCTATAACGCACAAACCGTATTATATGCAAACGTCGACATTATGATGACGTGATACGTACGTTTTCTTGGCAACGGTCGTCGCGCGAACGTGATATGAATGCACCACGAAGAGTCATCATATGATTTAATATAATATACCTAGTCAGTAATATTATTTATAATAATATCATTCGTTTCGGACCAATACGTCTTTATAAAACAGTTGATGCGGTCGACGGCCTTCGATCTATATCAGAAGAGTTTGGTCTAAGTAATAACGTCACAATCATAATGACATTTATTATGAAGTAATGTAAGTGTATACAATATAGTGTGGCTCGTGTTTGATATCATTGTGAATAAAATTAGTATAAAATATTATATCATAAACGTCTTGCTAAATTATAACATTATAGTAATAAAGATATATTACGCGACCATATACTTAAAAATATTTATCCATAAATATGTAAACTTAATATTTAATATTATGTATTTCAGGTTAAATTATTTTTACAAAATAACATAAGCCGTAACCATCTATTAACAAATAGATACATTTTTAATGTTAAATTTGACTTTTATTAACGCTAGTCACTGAACACTTAAATTATCCATGCAGAATTTATAAATTACTGAATTGTATTAAACGTATGTTTTTTTTTTTTTTAAATAAATGTAATAATAATTTGTGTACATCTGAGATGTTAAAATTAAGATATACTAATCACAATCGTTTACGATACAATTTTAACATCATACCGTCCTATTAAAATAAGTATCTTCTAACATAATATATAGTAACCACTTACCCACATATATTATACTAAACATGCCGATTATGGGCATAGAAATAATACGGTTTACACTCTCAACTCCTGCGACCGGACGATTCGACAATACACAGTAAAATGCGAATTTTCGTTTTAATTTAAAAACCTGAGAAAAAATATGAAATAATATTTAACATAGCTATTATTACATTGCATATTATTCAATTCTCCATAGTAAAATCATTAATTTCTGAGCATCTTGAACTTTTTTTTTGTTAATTAAGTTAATTGCATTAGAAAATTTATTATATGTTAACACGCGTAGTTATATTCCTGTAGTTTACTAAACATTAGCTACCTAGTTTAACCAATATTACACCTGTACAAATTGTTTTGTTTTCAAACTAAAATTATTTTTTTATTTATAATTTATAAACTAATTATTCAATTAAAAAACAACTGTTTAAAATAATAATAATAATACCTACCATTCTGTATAGTCTAGACTTACATTAATATGCACAAAAGAACATATATATATTATTTATTTCATCTAATGAATTCCAAAGAATCGTGGGAATTTTTATATTTAAGTTTTTTTAGTTTAAATCACTAACGTCTATCTATGACAAATCTATGTAAACTATATGGAAAAAATAATTTTACCGAGATAACAATCAGGGATACCCTGTAATTTTGTTCACGTGTAAGTACTTATCGAAATGCAAATATCTAAACAAATATATAATAGGTACTGGTACATTGTATACTAATATACTTGAATTTTCGAATACTTCACGTTTTGTCCATTGAGTTTTATATAAATGTTTATATCTTAAATGTAAATTTTAAAAACAATTTATATGAATGCATTGAATAAAAAAAAAAATTTAATTTATTTTATTTTTTAGACACTTTTACTACTTTAATTCAATCCCAACTATCTTATAAGTTAAATTAATCTTTAAAATCATTTCCCATTAAATGAACAATAATCAACAATAATAGATATATATCTAACTTTCATAATATAAATTATAATGTTGGTATAATGGATACAAGTACTCGTATACGAATAATTTTTTATAAACTATAATGTACATATATAAATATATAATGTACATAAATATATATTTTTTATGCTAATAAATTAATTATTAGGCTAATTATTTACATAATTATTGATTAAAGAACTAATTATTTATTAAAATCTTACCTATTTCTAATGGATATAAAAACTGCATAATTATAATAAATTAGTTAAACGCGAATATAATGGGAAAAAATATTAATAGAAATGTGTGTATGTTTGTAGAACGACACGATGCGTATGTTTTGGACAATGAGTGATCGAGATCCGATCGATAGACAATACACTGATGCATTGAAATTGGGTAGCTCATGGAAGGGCACTCAAAGTTTCCATCCAAGAGGCCCAAAATTCAAACCAAACACGGATGACTACAAAAAATGGGACATCACCATGGATAACGTAATCAAATATACATAATAATATAATTAAATTTAATATTATATAACAAATGAGATTTAATGAGATGTATTTATTTATTTTTAATTTTAGTTACGTATTAAAGACGACGTTGACACTTTGTACTGGTGCAAAATTTTCAAAGCTCCGATCTTTAAGAAAAATCATATTGTTGGGGTAAGTTTTTAACACAAATATTCACACCTTTTAAAAAACGAATGAAATATATACTAAACTAAATACGTTTATATTTAAGATGAATACTATTTTGTATATTACAAAAATAATAATTTAAATTTCACTTTATGTTATGTAGTATAACATAATATTTTCTTACAAATGTATGTAAAGTTACATGAATAAGAAGATCCTTAACTATTTATACTCTAACTTGTTATAGATAATGTAATGCTTATGTAATTATTGATTTAAAACAAATTCCCCCCTCCCCAAAAAAAATAGTTATTGAACGTTTTTCAAAGTATTAAATAGGTACATATTTTGCAACAATGCAAAATAAGATTTAAGTCTCCCCCATTCTAAAATTCAATCAAATATTTGTCTATGCCCTATTCCTTACAAAACAACTGTCTACCACTTCACTATATAGCCTAAATCAATAGAAAGGTAATTTGGTAATAAATTGCACATAAATATAACGGTATGGTTAATAATATAACATAAAACATTGGAAATAAATTAATTAATAATATATAATATAATTATAAGTAAATCAAAAATTAGGTTCATCCTTTATTTTATAGTTAAACTTTTTATAAATTCCTACCTTATTATTTCATAATTTAATTTCTTATTCTGATTTCATTAAACATTTTTAAAATGTTTCACTTTAAAACAAAATCGATTTATGTTAATCATTATTTACAATATAAAGTATTATAATATCTCATAACATAATATTAGATTCTAGAATCCGTTTATAAATAAACCACGAAGAACCCCTAAAAACGAAAAATAAACTATACAACTTATACAATATATACAATATAGTGGGAAGCAATTGGTGTAACTAAACCTTTTTTAAGGGACGCAACTAAGATGCTCCTATGTATAATATTATATGATCAAATAAGTATCGAATTACTTTTAAAAATAATCAAGGTTATTTTAAAATTAAAGTAAAAAAAACAGTAGTTACCTATATCAGGGGCGGTCAAACTTTTTTCGGCCGCGATCTACTAAAAATATACTTCACCTTTGAGGATCGACTTCGATAAAAAAATTTTTATTATTATTAAGTTACTATACCACCATAATTAATTTTCGTGAGCGCAGCCTAAAAATAAATTCTAGCACGATCGACTTTAAAATCGTTTGTGATCGACCGGTCGATCGCGATCGACTGTTTGGCCGCCCCTGACCTATATGATACTTTTCTAATTTTTTATCGAACTTCAGACAGAGCCGGGTTCACTTTTTAGTTATCTACACTTAGAATAAATTCTAAATAAATCACATAACACTGTTTCTTAAACTTTTGTTACCGTACTATACCCAACACTGAATTAAAATATGTATATCGGCTACAAAACATATTTATAAAAATTATTTGACAGGACGTAGTTATATATAATATATATATATATAAATGTTTTGAGATACGACTTTTGGTCACTTCTATAGTTTGTGCCTTTGCTGAACGACGACACACGACGTCTTGTCCACCATATGATCGTTTATGAGTGCTACGGTGGTTCGAACATAATGGAAAAGTATGTGACGTTAAAAGGCGCCCAGTGTTACGGCCAGGGTATGCCAGAAGACTGGAACAAGTGCGTATCGCCGGTGGTCACATGGGCAATGGGCTCAGACGGACAGTTTTTGCCGGATCACATTGGCGTGCCGATTGGTGGTCGTGAAATGTACTACATGTTGGAAGTGCACTACGATAATCCCACGCTGAAAAAAGGTATAATGACAATAATAATATGATAAAAGTATATTATTAAACCAGTCAAACCGCAACGGCATTTCCCGTGATAAAAATGAAATGCTCGTTGATTTACTTCTTAAACTATCGGTTAAATGTAAATTTATGGATCATTAACAGTTATTTGGACTGTTTTAATAAAATATAAAATACAGATCTGAAAATAACTGTATCCGATCATAATGATAGTTTTTCTGGAATCAATAAAATTAAAAATTTAAGTAAATGTTGAAAATTAAATTTTGAGTGATACAAAATAGCCTATAACGTTATGGATTTCGTTGAATCTGTTGACGAACATTTTTAAAAATTCGGTCGAAAACTTTTGATTGTCATAAAGGTTATTTGTTTTAGACTTGGTTTTATAAAATAGATATTATATTTATTAATTAAAGCTTATCTTCCTGGACGGCGTTACTTATAAGTCATAACAATTCAAATAATGCTTGTGTGTTTATTGTCTACTCTACCTAAATTCTATTAAGTATAAACCGCACATATTTCAACTCATTCGTTTGTGTGATTTTGACCAAGAATAAAATTATATTATACTCAATTGTAATAAATATTTTATTTTCTGTAATTAATGGTAGGTAATCTTATATTTTTTTTTTTGCGAGCTACTTCTTTAAAAACGTAAAATTTAAAAATTGGCTTCGGAGTGCACATTTTTGGGTATAGAATTACTTATGTACCATTAAATTTCAGAACTATAAGTGCGATAGACTTGGATAGTTAAATGGCTTACACACTCACACACACAACACACATAAATTGTCTTTCATTAATATCGTCTATTATTTATTATGTGTAATTTCAGACAGTTTACTGAGTATAGATGATTTTTTCTGCTAAGCGTCTTACATGCGTATATTGTATTAGTGTAAATATTGAACACATACAATTTTTTCCAGTAAAATTTTTTTGTTATTTCTAAACTGAACACAAAAAAATACATTGCGAGTATTAAGGTTTTTAAAAGTAGAAATTGTCCTCGAAAACAATCAATAGTTTTGGAAAACTATGAAAAGCTAAACATAAATAATGAAATATAATAGTATAGTCTGATAGGTGTTAGTCTTTAATAAGAATTAAGATTTATGTGGAAACAAAAAGTTATGTACCAACTATTACTGTTAAATTGTTAATACGATCATCATCGCGTTTTATAAGACTCTGCTTTTAGTATTCGTGAACTATGATAGTGTTCATATTTTACTCGCATGTATTTACATAATAATCTATTATTGCCGTGGTTATATTATAATATACTATTTTAGTAATGGACAACTCGGGCGTTAGGGTGTACTACACCGAAGATTTGCGCCCCAACGACGCGGGCATTATGGCCGTAGGCATGGCAGTGTCGCCGATGCACATCGTACCACCTAAGCAATTTGCTTACAAGACAGCTAGTCTTTGTGACAAAGACTGCACAAACGTCATATTCCCGGAAAGAGGCATAAAAATCACGTCCGTCCTATTACACGCCCACCTGGCTTCCAGGCAGCTCAAACTCCGGCACGTTCGGCACGACCAGGAAATGGCTACCATCGCACAGGTATTTTATGAATATTATGAATAATTAAAATAATATTACTAATATTAGTGTATTAGGAATCGATATTATAAAATATATATACTATCAAGTATATAAAATCAGGATTCGAACCAGACAATATATTATTATAATTTATAATAATTATCACTTACAATCACTTATATAAAAATAAATAATTGTCTTAAACTATTTATCTTTATTGATTATTGTTAAATACATTAATTTAATGATTATTCTTTTCATTTGACATTTCAATACGTAATATAACTTTTTTGTGAGTAATTAATAAAAATAATTTTCCTACATACGATGTTATCGTCTACCGTCCTACCTCATATTATGTAGATTTTATAAGCCAATATTGTCGTAGTTGTTAATTTTCGTTTGTGTGTGTTCATTATAATATGTTAATGTATAATATATATATATTTATATATTGTAACTAAATTAATAACTTTACATTATTTTATATAAAGGACGATCGTTACGACTACGATTACCAACAGGCGAGAGAACTGTCTAATGAAGTGACTGTGTATCCCGGTGATGAACTAATCACAGAGTGCGTCTATAATACAGTCGATCGTCCGCAGTTAACGCACGTATGTATAATATGTTTAACTTTTATTTATTAGGTATTCAATATATTTATGGCTTAATGGTTATTTTTTATTGCAATGACATACCGTGTATACTACATTATTTTTCGGCAATACTATAGCTTACAATAACTGCAGTGTATATATAAATACAATTTTAATTTTTAATGTAGTGACAACCAAGAAACCTAACCTAATCAACACAATTAGTCACTTTAATCAGCGCCTTATCACAAATATACGAAAATTAAGTACATGTAGTTCTTTGAATGTGTACGTTTATGATACTTTAGTATTAAATGTTTTATCAGTTAGATTAAAAAATAAATCAGAATAGTAAATATTATATCTACACATTTAATTCTAATATCTTGATCAGAATCTTCTTTTTTTTGAAATACCTACTAAAATTTTTCGAAACAAATTTTCTGATTGTGCTAAATTACACCTCCACTGAATACTTTTTCCTCACCACAGTTTATTCCAAATGTGTCAATTTCACCCGATTGTTACACCTGAGATATAAAAATCAGATGTCAATAATGACATTAAAAGTTCGTTATTGACGTTTTCATAATGGTATAAACTATAAACTATTAAGTGGACTCGGCTATTGGAAAATTATTCGACATTTCGACTTTAAATCTTAACAATTCAATATCTAGTATTTACAGTATTATAATTTTAATACGACTAATGCATTTAAAAAAATATTTTTTTTTCTAATTTATCATTTAAATATTATATTTTAGAATAACTTTACCCAATAACTAAATATTTTTATACAATTTACAAATCAGTAATAACATAGGTAGGTACACACAATTAATGTTAACATATTTTGCGATAACATAGGTAGCTAGTATATTATTGTTTATGAGACTATATATACTGATCTGTATATCGTATGTCACTTTATAAATATCGTTAAACTATTTACAAATAATAGGTAACATCCAATTCAACGTGTATAAGCCATATTGATGTCGTCACTATAATGGATTTCTACTGAAATACTTACATTGCTGCTTATAATTTGTAATATTATGCAGTATTAGAGTGGTGGAAAATACTCGTTGTTCCGTGTTCGAAATATAGAACCTAATTTTAATTTTATGTTAACGGTTTTACAGGGTGGTTATTCGACCAAACAAGAGATGTGCATAGCATTTGTCACTTACTACCCGCGTACGCCACTGGCGAGCTGTTTTAGTATGACGCCGGTACCGTTCTTTTTCGAAACATTCGGCGTTCAACAGTTCTTGGACTACAACATGGAGGGTGTTGAGAAAATCTTCTTAAAACTAGCTGACAGCACGTAAGTGGGATTCAATTACCATACATAATTTTATAATATTTTGTGTTTATTGTTGTTCATTATTGTGATTGAAGACATTTGCATAATAACATAAACCAACGTTATTATACATTTATTTATTTGTTTTCCATCAGCGGTATACTTAGATGGATGGAGAATTATAGTAAATAAAATTATAATTTTTTGCTTGAAATTAGTTTTGAGAAAATTAGGAGTGTTCAGTCACTATATTTTGTATCATAATTTCATATTTACTATAAATAACAATATAATACGATGTCAAGTTACTTTATTATTATTTTTACAGAACTAAAAATCCACCTTCTCAGACTACGACAACCACGACAACGACGACACCAACATTAAATAATGTGAAAATGTTGAATGAACTCAACCAGGAGCACATTGCATACCTGATGAAACCACCATCGTTCACAATCGACGACAGCAAAGAACAAAATTTGTTTAGAGATTTAGAAATCATGGAACCCGTCGAATTCCAGAACAAAACGTTCCAACAGCATTTAGATAACTTGCCATGGGAAGACAGCTTGTTGACCAAAAATATCGAAAGACGATTGATCAATGGCAAACACATGACGTTCTGTCGACTGCACAACGACACGTTAGCCTTGGTAGGTTTCGTTTAGACAACTACTTTTGTAGTGTGCTGTTAAATTTACAATTTATGCCTTTCAACAAAAAAATAAATAAATAACCTTGGCTAAGTACCTACATAATATAGATGTTATTTTTTCTTTCGAGTTTGGCTAATATGGAAAACCTAAACTTATGCTGTTGTAGGACATTCAGCATAATATATATATATATATATATATATATATATATTATGTTAGCCATTGTTTAAATGTGGGAGGAGGTGAATATATTTTCTTTAAAAATAATACATTTTAAGGTACTCTTTTTAGATATATCTTAATCAATGACATTTAAATCTTAAGGTATGCAGATATGCACATAAACTTTTAAACTTTTGTATCATCTTATAAATCTTTTTCAAGTGCTGGTAATAACAGACAAAAATTAATATTATCTTCTGTAGACCACCGAATACTTAAATGTCCAACTTTTATCAAATGTATAATGCATACATTATATTATGTTGATATTTAGCCATGGTACACGAATTTTATTATAAATAAAGTGTTACTACTCCATCATATAATATTATAAATTTATAACGCATTACGATGCACTATGACATTAGAATTACAATATTTCTTATTTTTATGATCTTATCTTTAATAATAAATAATAAGGGTTGTATCAAAATAATTATTTATTTTTCATGCAATCGTTAATGTGAAATCAGGATTGAATTTAACTCATTCAGCGCCAATGCATGAATTGTTTTGACATCCCTTCTTCTAATTAAATTTTAATTTTGACATCTTTCACGTGTCTTTCTGGTTTGGCATCCTATGCCGTCGCATTTATCGGTCGTATCTAAAGCCGGCTTTACAGGAAATACATATAAATAAGTATAAAATATAAACTCAGATAAACCATTGAGAAATTTTGAAAATTTACTTTTTTATTTTCAAAGTAGGTTTATTTTATTTATCTAGTGAATTAGTAATGATCTAGATACGTAAAATTTAATATTTATGTATGTATAAAATCTTGATAGGACGTAGATAGGTAACTTAAAACTTTTTATGAAAACTAGAACAAAACTGTTCAGAGATAAATTTAAAAAATTTATCTTTGTAAAATAATTAAAAGTATTATGACGTAAGTCATCTATTATGGCATTAATTTATTATTTTAATTATTTTCAGATGATGAATACGTACTTGTTTCCAAACTTCACGGCGTACACTGAGCCAAAGACCTCAAATGTTGCATGCATACCGTTATCGAATAAATTCAAAAACTCTGCCTTGGCAGTACAAAGTTCCTTCATATTTATTTTATTAAGTATCGCACTGATTTTTGTATATTAGGAACAAAAATAATAATTATTATTATATACCTACCTATATCACGAACCTCTCATACACGTTGTGGTCGTAGATTTAAGTAAATTTTACCAAAGTCACTTTTTTGTTTATATTTTATAATTTTTTTTTTTTATACATAAACGTATCATTTTGAATTTTGTAAATAATATATTAGTATTTATTTATCGCGTCAATGATTTCCACAATTCCTAATCCGTTCAATTGACAAACTTATGACTACAATGCGTCGTACTATTGTAATATATTATACAACGTTAATAATCCAACAATTGACCCATTTAAAAATACAGAATTCTCTGTCTCTTTCTTCTCTATAGGTACATACCAACATAGTCCATGCTACTTCTCCAGAAAAATAACCAAAATAGTTTGAAATTAAAAATAAAATAAATTATAAGAGTTTGAATCATAATATGTTATTAAATTTAAATAGATCTTTTCTTCAAATATGTAAACCATGCGTTATAGTTTACTTAACTTAATATATCTAATCTATTGCTTATTGTATCATAAATAATATCTATAACAGTTTATAAATATTTTTCTTTAATCACTTTATAAAAAAAAACATTAATCCTGACTAATTCATTCAGATTAACGCAATTTAAGAAACACAGATTATTTGGCCTTAACAATTTTTACTGCTGTAGAGCTATACATTAGGAAATTCTTTTTATACACATTTTAATAATCACGACACCTACTTATAAGATATAAAGGAACGTAATATGTAAGATTAATATATTATTATGTATAACTTTAAAAATGAAATCATAGGATATGCCAAATTGTATTATAGTTTTATAATATGTTAAGTACTTCTAGACTAAATACTACACACAGTGGTGTATTTTTGAGAAGAAACTATAGCCTACAAGACACGTGCCTACAGCTGAACATTTTGAGAGGTGGCAAATTTTTTAAGGTTATACTTATACGTTTTACTATTATGCATATTTATTAATCATTTTCGTTTTTAAATGTTGTGTTATTTTAAAATATGTTATGTATATTATAATAAGCAATATTTTACATGATAACTATTGTTATAATATCTCATCGCCGTTTATAGGAATTAGGGAATATTTACGGCGTCGAATTTCAAAGAAATTGTTATCATCGATTTTAATTAATTTAATCTCATTTAGCAAAAACAATTCTGAATTTAGTCGCATTGTTCGCGTTGCCGTGTCTGGTGTGTATAAATCGTTTTAGTATTTTTATATTAATTATCTTAGTATTATTTATTTACTATTTTTACTATTCTTAATTTTTTTGTGATTATTAGCAAAAAACAGTTTAGTGGGGACCAATACAAAAAAATCGCCAAATTAAAAAAATAATTATCTGCAAAATTGTTTAAATCAAACACACAAATTGATTGTTTTTTTTTCGAAAGTAAAGCTTCTTATACTTCTTGGAGTAGTAGCAGTAGTAATAATAACACTATGGATAGAAAACGGATGCTCAAATTAGTATCAGTGAAACACCAATAAATTAACGTAGGTATCTGTTGAAGTTGACGTTGTTTAATCTGAAGTTAGTTATGAGTCAAATGAGTTAACTAATATTTATATTTATTCAAATTATTTTTAATTTATTATCTTTTATTTTTGTTATATATTTCATACATACATTTGACATAATAAAATACAACATGTAGGTTGTAATAAGTTATACCTAACTTTATAAATTAAGCTCAGCTTTTCCAATAAAAGTTAGCTTACAGAAAGTGTTGTATATTATTTTTTATCTTATTTTTACTGTATATACCTATATTTGCTAGTATATTATTATTATTATATAATGTGATAATAAATACAATTGATTTGGAGACAGATCCAGCAAAATGGGTTATTAACGATGAATTTCATGAATATGTCTCAATAAATAGCTTCGAACAAAATATTAATGATTTTTTGAACTCCAAACGTGTATACGATGACAAAACAAGATATTTGACCAATAGTATGTTAAATAGGCGTTTAAATAATGAAGAAACAATATTTCCTACTTGATTGTTTATTGTCCAAGTTTAGGAGTAGTTTTTAGAGGATCTAGTCATATATTTCAAACATCTTTAGAAACTCAACTTGTTTCTGAAGAATTTAATGATTAGAAAAATACAATTGACCATTTTAATTTTCATTAAAGTAGTAAAGAGCACAGAAATATTATTATTAGTAAAGTTTAAAATATAGATGTAATATCTTAGAACGTATTGATTATACATTTATTAAGCAATTAGATAATGAAATTGAACTTTAGAGAAATGTGTTGAAAAGGGAAGTTGAAACTATTAAATCATTAGCTTCTCGCAGTCTCCCTTTTCGAAAACATCATTCGTGTTTTGGTTCTGTACACAATGATAGTTATTTAATACCACTTGAACTAATTGCAGAATTAAGTGATGATAAAGTTTCTCAAATTTATACATCACTTATTAATCTATTACAAAAAACTCGAAATAATTTTCAAGTGTGTGAAACTAAAGCTAAATTAATGTCAAAGATGTCCGAGTATAATCTTGATACAACTCGAAAAAAATTATTCTTTGTTGAAAAAAGTGAACAATTCACTAAGTTAAGTGGTGGAAATAAATTTCGTGGAGAAACATTCTACATTATTATTGAAAAAATGATTAATTAACTTGAAAAAAAAACAGAGATAAATAAATTTTCATCTATAGTTTGCGTATGTTGCACTGACGCTTCGACATATTCTCAATACATTGCTTTAGGACATAAGCACATTACATTTTATATGTAGTTATTGTACGGTTATTCTTATTTGAGAAACTCGCAACTCAGAGTAACTATAAAAAAAGAAAAAATAAAGAATATATTTCTAAAACCAAAAACCAAATCACAAAGAAAAATACCCGATATTTTATGAGAAAGTATTTTTAATCTTTTTATTTATTGCCTTATTTTAGTAAAATATACAATAATAAATAATAATATTATTTGTATGTGTGTGGGTTTGAGTATAAAGTTGCTATTATACTTATTTCTTATAGTCTTATATTATTAGAAATAATTATGCATTTATGTCTGAAATTTTCAAAGTATTTTTTTTTAGTATTCGATGATATAAATGCTAATTTATCAAATATATAATTAACAAAACATAATTACTATACTCATCAATAATTGTTGAAGAAACATATGAATACATTTTTTTGATGACTTTTTAACTCAAATAACAATAAAATTCAATAACAATACTAATTATTTTTAATTTTTATCAGGTATTAATTACATCATCCATTTCTCCTAAGCATTTAAAAAATGCCTTATTGAAAATAATATAATATTTATAAATTAATAATTATTAATGATTATAATCATTACACGCTTAAATTATTTAAAAAGTGAACTGTTTAATTTAAAATATTATTTTAAGAAGGTTTTTTCAAAATAAATAAAAACAAGCAATATAATTAACTTAATAATCAAATGAATAAAATAGATAAAAGTATTTTGTTCTAATTTTTTGAACATGTTTTAGAAATACCTATAACAAACAAAATATAGTATTTAAATTATTTATAATGATTTTCATAAACAAATATACTTAGTTTTATTATTTATAAAAAAGAAAAATTGAGTTAGTAAATCATACGATAAATGATTGAACAGTTTCATAATTATAAAGGTAAAAGTAAACTACTATCAATTTATGGTGAATATTTATTAAATTTTTATTTATGACTATGAATCGAATAATAGTTTACATTTCACTGTTGAGTAGGTACCTATATTTTTAATGAAACTGACAGTAATTTTAACAACTGGCAAACAACTAACAAGTTATATAATGTGACTATTTATATATAATAATATCATTTTATCAAAAAGCAAAACAAAAATTATAGTATAACTTATTACTATTATTAAAGTATTAGAATATTAATATTTGTAACCTTGTTCACAGTTATTGATGTAAAACAGCATTAAAACCACTTAACAATTTATTTCAGCAATTATTTAAAATAACTAAGTTTTTAAGTTAATAAACAATTTAAATTAAAAATTTAAAAATTAATAAATGTTTTAGCTCAGTTTTAACTTTTTAACTAGTAAATTCCCACCTTTAGATACTATCTAAACTAGATTTGTTTCAACACAAATATTAATGTAATAGTATATAATGCAACTATTTCAATAACCCTGACTTTAACATTAAAAAGATATATGAATATCAATTATATTTATTATAGCTATTCAAATATCCATTATTTTATTTTATTTTTTAATATGATTAAGGCTTATATAATATTATAAACTATTATTTTTTCAATTGTTCGCAATATTTAACGTGTTTGCCGTATTTATGTTTCAATTAAACCAAATTAAATTTTAAAATTAATATGCATCATGTTATATTTTTATATTGAATCTAAATTTAAAATTATCTTAAGTCAATACATTTCTTATCTAATAATTTAAACATTTTAAAAGGGTTCAATACAATAAGAAATTACCCATTATTCGGAACAATCTTAGCGCCTAACACAAAGCTACTTAGATAATACTATTACTGTGCTATAATATATTAATATAGTATACACTACTCCACAGTTATAATATAATTATTAAATTATTTAACTCCTGGTTCCGCATTTGATGCAGAATATATTTTATATTTTCTGAAATACTTATAAGTTCTTATTAAAATAACCATTTTTATGCAGGATTAATGTTCAAAGTGAAATATAATCAAATTATTCTTTAAATACTCAATGATTGATAGTAAAATATTAAAACTAAAATGATGATGTACGTGATTTATATATTAATTTATCTCCTAGGTAGATAAGTACTTTAGATTTTTGGACCAGTTATACAACTAAATTAGTCTGGTTTAAGATTGGAAAACTCGTCTTCATATTGTTTATGATTTGGTGTACCTTACAGTGTAGCTGGTATGCACTGCAACTGCTACATACCACTGGTGCCTTGTATCAACATGCATATTTTATATGACAAATTAAAATCCTTTCTTCCGAGAGAGTTCTAATACATTGAACCCATCAGTGATCTTCAGGTACGTAATATCTAAAATAATATAAAAATAAACACTATGACCTAATTTCTAAAATATAATAAAACCACTATGTTTATTGGTATTTGTATTATACTAGTATAGAACCTACACAAAAAATAACATAGCAATCTAACTACAAAACACAAGAAATGTAAAAATAGTTTAACGGATAATTTAAACAGTTTTTAAAAAGTTTAGAATGTTAAGACTTTATTTCTTTTATTTTTTTAATAATTATATCATTATATTGCTATTTACGATAAGAAAAATAGTTATATAGTAATTATATAGTTAAAAGTGTATCTCGTTATAATTAATGTTTATTAATAATTTTAGTAAATACTTAAGAATAATTGTA